ATATATATTCTTAAACTGTATGCATAAATCTAAGAACATTATTATATTTACTATATATTTGAGCAAAAATCTAAGAAAATTACAGACATTTTTTATTAAATCCAGAACAATGGGATACAAAAATATATTTTTTATTATTGATATTCTTGAAGATTTTTTCAAGATATTCAAAAATTTACCAAAAAAAAAAGATATATTCTTTTAAAATATAAATATAAAAGATATATTTTCTGAAAAGTCAAATTTTCTTGCAAAAAAACTGTAGGCATTAGGTCTATTTGTGTTTCTGAACAATGCCACTAAAGAAAAAAGAGGGCTTCTCATGAGAGCCAAAGAGCAAGCACAGGCCTCTCTAAGGTTCTCTGTTTTTAATTTGAAGCTTTCTGTTCTTTTCTCCCTCCACAAATCTGAAAGAACTATACCACGGTAAATTAAGATATATGGATAGAACTGCCTCTCTCCTCGTAGGAGATTTATCTCTGTGTTTAATTGCCCTTGGACTAATCATGGGTCTGTTCATTCTCTGGGTGCTGTGGAGGGTCAGGACCCAAAAAAGATATATACTTTATTCTAAACGTCCCCTCTAAACAACTCTGAAGAACCTGTGAGAGTCTGCAAAAAAAAAAAGAGATATAAATGTTATAGATTAATTTACTGAACTGTGGTAACAATCCAAGCAGTCTTATGAAATGTTATTTTTTTTTATTATTATTACTATTTTTTTTAAATACTCAACAAGGCAAGCATGCACCAAATAAGTCATACTAATCGGTCATCAGCTTGACCAATATTCTAAGTTTTCAATTCAATCAGTTATAATTTTTATTTTTTAATTTCTGGTCTATCGATAGATGGCATAATTTTATGCCAGAACCCAACAACAGTATTCAAAGGTAAAGTAAATTATTTAGAGCCCAAAACATATATACAAATTATTAAATGTTTGCATAAATAAATAGCATAAATAACAACAATGGCAACAGTAATATTATTTGCTAATTAATATAATTTTTTATTTGTTGTGGTCATTTAATTATGATTGTGTCAACAAGCAGAAGTTCTTGAGGGGGGAAAATGTGTTATTAGAGACTTTAACATAAAATAATCTTTATGTATCTGTCAACCTGTAATGTAAAATATAGCATAAAAATTATATTTTTTATTTTTAAGTTTGTGGTAGTAATACATGCAAAAGAGATCATGCAAAAACTCAGTCTGAATGTAAACAACTCAACATTCAGTAAAAGAAAACAGGGAGTAATCTGACAAATACAACGAAAATGTAGCAAAGTTAATGCAAAGACAACATCTCTCTAATCAAGGACAAACTGTTTTTAATTCAACTACTGACAAAGGCCAATCCAAGCAACACGACATAAGAAGGTAGTCAACGTGAGTTTTCACGATGCATGTTGGGACTTGACAACAAAACCCAAACACAGATGTTATCAAAGCAACCCCACACAAAAATATAATAAACAATATGGAGCAACGTAGACAAAAGGGACTAATTTACTTTAATGAGAGCACGGCTGTTGTAGAAAAAGATCATGTAATGTGGCAAAAAGGGCTAGAATTAGAAAATAGCAGATAAGGAAGAAAAGAAGCATCTCCAAACTCTGTAGATAAGAAATACCTTTGTTAAATATAGTATTAACTGTCTGGTTCATCTAAAGCGTCCATTTTTGCAAAACGAAACCATGACAAGAGAAACAAACTTTCCCCCTCCACTACCGGAAAGAAAATCATCACGCAAATATCCGGAATTTCCACTTACCTATTCGATGAAGCCGCTCAAACAACTCAAAATCCTTCCAAATTAGGATTTATGACTCGTGACGAAGGTCTACTTCAAATCGTGTATTATAGAGACTTTCCGTGGTGAGGTTTTAGGAGATTTTCTCCTGCTTTCGAGGACGTTTTCTACGGTTTCTTTCGTTTTTTTCTTTTCTAGTTGTGCCTCTATGTGAGGGAACGTTCCACTCGTGCGCGTAACGCGATAAGCCCGGATTCAGTCTTCCAATCACAGCTGCGCGCTGCTGAAGTCCTCCAATCACGGCAGCGCGGCCGAACGCGAGCGTTCTAGTCGCAGATCCGCGCGGTGAAGAACAAGCAGGAGAGACGCGCTGGAGAGGGAGAGGATGGATGGATGGATGGGAGGGGGTCATCCAAAAACGAGAGCCGCGGGTGCCATCTGGTGTCAATATGAGGAAGAATATAGTAGTAGTTTAACTTTTAAGTTTGTATTGAAGGCTACCCTGCAAGCGATTAATAAATATATAAATACACATAAAATAGGTGTCCGTTTTTATATATTAGTAAACATACATTTACGTGTGTGGATAAGAATGAAAGAGGAGGTAAGAGTGAACGACTTATCACTCTGAATTTTAATACCATCTACAGGTCAGTATTGGTGTTGTAGGAACTGTCTGGGTGATTATTGGCAGAATGTACATGTGGTATGAATTTAGAGAAACTGAAAATTTTAAAGAATACACTTCCATACAAAAGTTTGGAGTCGGTACGTTTTTTTTTTAATGTTCTTTTTTTATGTTTTTTTTATGTTCTTTCCCAGGCTGCATTTATTTGATAAAATACAGTAACCATACAGTTTTAATGTATTTTAAAATTTAAAAGTGTCACGTGATCATTCATATTATTATCAATGTTGAGGGGTAATTTGTAAAAGCCTTTATTTTTGATCAATTTAATCCATCTTTTTGTAAAGTATTAATTTCTTTAAAAATGTTTTACTGAAATATTACTGAATTCTCAGCATTCAAATTCAAATGTGGAAGTTATATTAAATAATTTAATGATTAACACCCTAAATAGTTTATCCAATAAATCAAATGCAGTAATATCAGAGGTCTTTGTTTCTTGTGTGACTGAACACTGGTGAGCTGTATGGCTTCAGAAGACTTGAAATAATTATCTTTATGGCGCTTTTTGTATGTCCCCACTGTCCCCACTCACTTATATTGTATGGAAAACAGCAGCCAGAACATTTTGCTAAACATCTTTTTTTTCTGTTCCATGGAAGAAAGTAAGTCATAGTGGTTTAGAACAAAAGAGTAACCAACAAGTCACACTGACACTTCTGTTTATTTGGTTAAAAGTAATAATGTTTTATTCACATTAACAATAGTACATTGGGTTTGTATTTCAATGTGTGCTGTGGTGTATTGCAGTGGATGTGGTACGTATATTTTATAATTTCTCTCAGGGTTAGTTTTTTACATCAGTCATTCAGGCAATTCATTATTCAGCAATAATTTAGGATAAACAAAGCAGGCAAAAGAGAAAAAAAAAAGAGAAACATAAAATGAAAAAGAAAATGACAAACTGAGCACTATGCACTATGTGTCAGTGGCTGAAAGTTACATGAAACAAAAAGACATATGCACATCAAACACAGGAGCTTTGTGTGTTCACTTACAGGCTAGTTTAGAACTCTAACTCACATTCCAGTCGCTACACTACTCCTCTCTGCCTTTTGCACCCTCACTTTACATCGCCTCCAGGTTTCCTTGTTGACTGTTGCCTCAACTTCTCTCCAGTAACATTGGTTTGCATTTACCCCTGGATGTTAAGGATCTGTGCAGACAGGAGCCTTCCGGTTTCCTTGTTGATTGTTGCCTCAACTTCTCTCCAGTAACATCAGGTGGCATTTACCCCTGGATGTTAAGGATCTGTGCAGACAGGCCGTGGTGCCAGTTTTTCAGCCTTATACATTTAAGGCCTGGCCTTATCAAATATGTCAATGCCCTTATGAAAAAGAAGTGTGCTTAATTGTACTGAATGTGCACTTAGTGTACTACAAATCTTAAAAGTATCATTTTAAAACACAGTACTTAAAAAAACTGAGACAACGTGGATTACCTTGATTTTCTAAGAGCCTCCTCATCTGGATCTTGCACTGTGATAAATAGAAGTCAGTTGTTACAGGCCTAGTCTCCAAAAATAAAGTGCAAACCGATTTTTATAACACAGTCACTGTCATCTTATGTCAGCACGTCTAAAACATGTCAGCCTTTTCAACTTAAACCAATTTCCATTTCACACAGTGGTGTGATAAAGAAAGGCTGTACTCACGATACTCCGTTCCTGTGATATGAGCAAGGATGCGGAAGGACTTGGACTGCAGGTTGGCAGCACGAAGGGTCCACTCTGACATCTCCATCTCCTTGTCAGGTTTGATCACAGCCTGGTAGACTGGAGAAGCACTGTCCACAAGAGGGTCTTTAATAGGAAGTGAGCTACTCTCCAGCAGAGAGAAAGGGAAAAAAGATTATCAGTTGTTGATCTGTGTTCTCTGAATTTGGGTGCATCAAGTTAAGTTTCCAAAAATCATATAATAAAAGGACAATATTTGTTGAAGTTTTTTCTGAATTAATAAACTGTTTTACATATTTGTGAAGATGTGCATAATTTTAATACTGTTCCATTGTAGTGAAAGGTCTGTGATGGAGGAAATGACTAAGAATGAGTTAGGATTTGAGAGGAATAAAACTGAGTTCCTATATTAGGTGAATGTAAAGTAAGATGTTAGAGGTTATGTAATTCTCCCCTGGCAAATATACTCAGAACATTCATATTTTTCTTTATAGATCTCCATTTACTTACATATTTCCAACAGTATAACATGGTAATTGAAAAATTACCAAAAAATCCAATTCAGTGTCAATGCAATCAGCTTTTAACAGAGAATATAATATGAGAGACGAGTCAATGCAGCTGTGATGGATCTAAATAGACTGTGGCTACTTACGCCAAGGGAGATCCAGTGGAGTCATCACCGCTGTCAATCACATGATGAACCAGGATGGGAGGGAGCAAGTCAGAGCCGTGTCACATGGAAGGATGGAAAATGTAGTGGGGGTGAGGCGAGGATGAGTGATGAGAAATGGGTGATTGGTTGTTGATGGAGTGACATAATTGCAAGCAGAAGAGGGAGGAAAGCACAGATGAGGTTGAAACACATGACCTTGTGGAAGCCTGAAATCAGCCCAGGCTAGATGACCGATAATGAGATTTTACTGTTATAAACACTGCAAACTGAATAGAATTGCATTGTAAACAAAAAGATTAAACTGCAAATAAAAAGATGCAAAATGAGCGGAAATACCGTACTTTTCCTAACATCTCATAACAAATTGCAAGAATATGCTTTCTTATTTTTAATAGAGTGCTGCAGGGATGACTTATTTTTATAGGCCTAAATCCGAAAATGAGTTAGCATTTTAGTTTTCCACGTTCCGTCAGCCTTAATTCAATGTTTTGTTTCGTTTTTTAATAAAGACAAACGTTGTCAGAAGCTTAATGGTGGTAATGCTGAACTTGTGGTGTAGTTTGTTTATAGCCTCCATTTAGTTGTTTACTTCTAGCGATTGTTTTTAGGCTCCAAAAATCATAGAAGTTGTGTTAATTTGTAAAGATTATCACGATGAACAAAATGTGTAAGAATCATGAACTTCTGTTGGTCACAGAGCTTATTTTCTGCAATAATCCAAAAGCCAATGGAAAAATCCTATTTTTGTTGAGGGAACCAGGTTAATACTAACTTAAGAGTTGGCCAATAAAAAAATATGTCATCCCTGTGCTCTTGATTGCAACATACAGTGGTCCTAAAAATTATGTAGAAACTTAAATGAAAAGTTCACTCAAAAATTTAAATACTCTCATCTTCTGTTATTCTCTCATATTATTCAGATTGAGTGGGGTGTTGAACCATGACGACCAGATTGTTGAGTTAGTGAGGTGAAAGAATTGGATCCATCCAATTTATGAAAATATTGCTCAGAGGTGCGTTTCTCAAAAGCAACGTCTAAGCAGACTGTAGAAATCACTGACACCAATAATCATTACAATCTACTTAGGTTCACATTGCTTTTGGGAAATACATCCCAGACCCTTTTTTGTACTGGATCAATCAATTCATTAAAAGAATGAAACTCAAAAGAACAATTTGTTACCGAATTGAACATTGCTATACGTGCAAAATTATCGCTTGACTTCATAAGATGTGGCTCTGAGTTACTGAACCACTTTTAATTATAGGCTGCTACTTTTTCCTGTTTTCCAAGATCTCATTCACTTTTATTGTGTTATAAAGAGTGGTATGGAGGCTTGTGTCTGCCAAAGGAACCATTTTTAAATTTGCGACTTTCCAACTCAAAATTATTTTTTTCCTTTAGAATTGTGAGATATGAATTCATAATTGCAAGATATAAACTCAAAATTCTGAGAAAAAAGTCTGAATTGCGAGATGCACACTAGAATTCTGAGTTAGAGTAAGCAAATAATAACAGAATTTATGAGTGAACTATTCCTTTAGATATACATCACTGCATTAAATATTGAAATATAATACTGTTTCTAATGCAATGACAGTCATGTAGTGTGGCTTAAATGTCTGTTTTGTGGCCACTGTATCACTTATCTCAGCTCTCACAAGCATCAGTGTAGTAAAAAGTAAAGTGCTGGACAGGAATGGAAGACCTACCTCATCTCGTTTCCTCTGGCTTGGGCCTGACCAGCAATGGCATCCATAATGGCATCCTGAGAATACATACTAATAGGAGTGTTGTACTGGGCATGGATGATAGTAGCCTTCCCACCAGGACCCTTGACCTCAATAGGCTTGTGAGTGGACAAAGCTGAGTCCTTCAGTGCGATGGGATTGAAGCTTGGAACATACTCTTGGCTGTGAGTTCAGGTGTGGGAGTGTCAGGGGAGCGATAGTGTAGAGGTGGGTGGGTAATGGTGAAGAGCCAGAAATATGAGTGAAAACAGAGAGATAGATACGATTTGACAGTGAGAACAATTTGATTTAGACTTGACTTACCTAATGCATCTGTATCATTAAACAGCAATGAGTTTTGCATTACTAGTTTGGATGTTTCTGAAGTTAAATGGTCTACACCAGCCGTTAGTTTTACATTCTAATAAAATCCCATGTCTGAAAACACAATGTCCTGTATAACAAATGCATCTGGGCTTTCAATCCTAATGTAAAAATGCACATGGCATGCAATAGTTCCCATTATGATACTCCAAAAAACATGCAAAGACGCATTGACCAATAAAACTATAACCAAAACTCAACAACAGATTTATCTAGTTTAAACACTACACTCAAAAGCATTTAACATTTCATCATGTCTGAAATGTCAAATTGTTCAAAACATATTTTGAACATTCGGGAATTGAAAATGTAAGCATGCAAACCACAACCACAGTACTGCATGTGGCCATGCTTCAGAGCACACAGATTCACGCGCAGTTCTGGAGATTTTATATTCAAAACTGTTACTGACTTGGCAGCTGTGTTGGCAATGACCTGAGACGACATAGAGGAGTATAGACAGAAAAAAGATAAACAAAAGAGGCAGTGTTAGCCTTGATTTGGCAGTGTGCGGAATGATAATGGATCCATGTCCATGTAAATAAGCAAGAAAAAAACAACAATAACATGGAATGCAAATGTTTCACTTTGTCTGAAGAACTTGCACCTGAAATATGAATATATTTTAACTGTTAAAGGACAGTTCACCCAAAAACTACAATTATTTTTATTTCCACTTTCATTTCATTTAACCTGTATGACTTTGATTCTTTTGTAGAAAACAAAAGAAGATACAGTGAAAACTGTCTTAGTGTCTCAGCTTTTCAGCATTCTACAAAATATCTTCTTTTGTGTTCTTCAAACGAAAGAAAGTAGTACAGATTTGAAATGACCTGTGAGCGAGTAAATGATCAGAGGCATTAAATAACAGTTTAAATATATTTAGGATTTCTTGTTATCTGTTGTGCCATGATGTGGCGATGGTTATTACTGGTCACATTTCTCATAAGAATGACATTCTGGTTTGTTCCTAGAACAGACTCATTGACTGAAACAGGATTGTGGCTGCAGCGGGACACACAGAGAACACTGGAGCTAAAAAAACACTCATCCTCTCATTGAATCAAACAACCAATCCAGTCGTGTTATTGTTAACTAGAACTAAAACTATCAAAAAATAGTTTTTGTTAATTGAAATAAAGCTGAAATTACATAAAATATAAATATTAAATGAATAATATAGAAATATTGCCTTGGCAGCTAACAGAAATTATTTAAAAAAACTAAGAACTAAAATTACTAAAACAAAAAATTGAAATAAAACTAAAACTAAATAAAAATATATTAAAAGCAGCTGTGAGCTGCAAATAGAGGATGGAATATGTGATGGCATCATTGCGGTAGGACTTCATTTGGGATATACTGTTACAAGAGCTGTGACATTCTGAGCAGGTTAAAAGAGCCAACTAGTGCACATTTGCACCCATGTTCAGTTACGACTCAACGCTTGGGGCCTGTGGGAATTTCCTCACATGTTTTTGGACAGAGAAGATACACTGTTGTGACAACTAACAGAATGGTTTAGGAAGAGGTCTTATGAAGCTAGTAAATGATGACAACAAAAAGGGGAAAGCATCATCGTTTACATGTTAGCATCATTTATAAGCCATTATAGAAACTTGGCAATCCTCATCTAATTGCAGGAGATGTAGCTCTTACACAACTAAAATAACTAGTATGTTGTCATTTGGAAGGAGCTTACATTCATAGATACAGATACGACTTGGCCAGGCCCTGCTCGTATTGCAGGACGGGGGTCAGGTGAGCCTTATGGTTATGGACCACTGGTACCCCTTCTGCCAAGCACATTCCCAGCTGATCCGTTGCATGTGAGAGTGGAATGTGCAGAGGTAATGACAGAATGTTCTGAGTATTCTTTGGCACAGTTTTGTTAAAGGTACTGCAGGGGATACAGGTGAGGCTAACCAATGCCTCCATGGCCCGTTTTAGTGAACTAGCTTGTTAAAGCAAATTTGGTGGACTTGCTCATTAAGATACAGATTTGTGGGTTAGGCATCACATTACCTACCCGAGGAATGACAGGCAATTTAGACTGTCTTGTTGAATGACCATCTCCCTTAAAGTTTCTGCTGAATACAGGCCAATGGGAGAATTATACTGTCCCCTCTGGTTTGGGGTGGTTTTTGCCCCTTGCCCGAATGGCAAATAAGTAAGGACAGGGCTTTTAGCAGGAGAATGAATTACAGGTTGGAGATTCTCCTGAGGTTTCTCCTCAGTGTTTGGAATTAGAGATTTTTTGGAAGGTTTTTTGGCCAAGAGGATGCCATATTTTTTGACAGGTTTCTCTTCATCTTCTCCTTCCTCAGTGTCCGTGGTTTCCTTAGTGTAAAATAAACCATTATCAGATCGACAAATGAACCATTAGCCAAAATGGCAAGGCATAGAAGAAAAAGATGGTTAGGAAAGAGGCAAATGAGGCATGAAGAAGCACTCAAGATCATCAAACAGAATTCATCTGGCAACAACAATGCAAATGAGAACTGGACAAGCAGGAAACTAATGAGGATTTCAAATGATGTGCTTATTGTTGCTTGACCAACAAATGCCTATAGAGGGAGTTAAGTGTCAACTTTACAGAGAATGCTTGTTTTCACAATCCCTCCTCTTTTTTCCCTCTCTCTACGATATGGGCTTGGAAACTCCCATGACAGATTAAGAGGATTATAAAGAAATGGCTCGCCTATTACGAAAAAATTATCATTTAGTTTTCTTCAACATATTTGTCCCCTCCATACAGTCCAGTTATATTTTTTACCACACTGATAAAATATCAAAATATGACATAAACCAATCTGTTTAACGTATATATAGGGAACATTTCAGATGAACAGAACACGACTTTACCTTCTGGTGAGGGATAACTGGCATGGGTGAGTCCATTCTTGGAGTGGCTGTGGGTACAGGAGCGGGACGTCTCGACCTGGGACCAGTACAGAATTCAAAGTAAAGGTCAATCATGCAAAGACATTAGGCTTTTGTTTGTCATGAGCCAACTTCTCCCTTCTTTAATTATTAATATGGTTAATTATTAGTTGTAAACATTAATGCTTTATTACAGTGATTTAAATGCACTTTAAACACAAATTCTAGAACATTTTATGAGAAAGTGCACTTTTAACTGACAGTAGCACAACATAAACACCAATATATAGTTCAACTCCAGTAAAAACTATCTTGTCTTTTAACTGAATTGATACCATTTCCATTACCAGTGGTTAAATAAAAATGTAAGTAAGTTATATATCAAGATCTGGCCCTAAGGTCTGAGACCGCTATTACAAATACTTCTATATTTAGTTTTTATCTTTTAATCTGCTTCTAATCTAATAAAATATACATATAAAACAAATTATTACAAATTATATTTGCAATAATTGAAATAATAATTGAATTGGCACAATAATTGAAAAAATTTGTACTGAATTATACTGAAGTTCTTGAACTGGCCATAAATTCCTGATCAATGTTCCATGTTCAACGTGATTTGAGAATGATCTAACTAGTCTGATCCAATGGAAGCAAGACCATCTGAACATCTGTACAAAAGAGTTCACATGTCCAATTACACAAATTTAATTAATTCGTTAGTGGCAAAATACTGCATAATTTTAACTATTATTTTAAAACAAAAGTCTTTAATTTATTTAAAAATAAAGAGAAAAATTATATATCCATGCACTATTATTCAAAAGTTTGGGGTGAGTAAGATATAAACAGCAAGGATGCATTAAATTGATCGAAAGTGACAGTAAAGACAGTTTCATTGTTACATAAGATTTCTATTTTAAATAAATACTGTTCTTTTTTTAAACTTTCTATTCAACTAAGAATCATGAAAAAATTTATGCTTCCACAAAAATATTAAGTAGCTCAATTGTTTTCAACATTGATAATAATAAGAAATGTTTATTGAGCCCCAAATCAGCATATTAGAATGACTTCTGACCAGCCCCCTGAGGGCACTGAGGAGAAATGTGCACCGTATAATGAGGTGTGAACCGCTTCTCCCCGATTAAGGGAACCGGTCTCTTGAGCAATCAACAATCCATATGCGATCCCCACGATCTAAATCGCAAGGACTGCAAACATGGACAAACTCCTCAAAGTGTGCTCAGCGGGAGTGGAGCGTTCGCAGCGGGGGCAAGATGCATACAGTCAGCCGCCTCAAGAGCTGGTTGTGCGTACTTCACCCCTAAACAAACAACACAACGATTGTGTGTATCCGCACCCGTAATATTTAGCGAGGGCAGAGAAGAACAAATGGTATAAATTGCTGCCAGTTTCTTTTTTTTTTTTTGCTCGCCATATATTGTTGCGATTGTGCACTGGCACTGACAAACAACAGATATTCAGACTGACACACACAGAGCGCTTGCTGAAGACACAGAAGCTAGCTGTATGTTTCGGATGTGCTTTCAAGCTTCCTGGTCTCTACGTCACCCCGCCCGTGATATCTCGCCATTCCATTGGCCTGATTTCACACATGCTTCAGGACACAGTCACGCAAAGGTGTTCCCAAAGCGTTTCTGACGCAACGTCTTGTTCCCTGAAGGGGAAACCTCTTTCAAAAACATAAAAATCTTACCGACCCCAAACTTTGTTTGAATGTTGCGGCACATACATCTCTCAAAGACACAGTTCTCATTAATGAATCTCATCATTTGACCTTTTCCCTGTGGCCAGGACCTGAAATCATGTCACGTTTCAATTTTCTAGCCAATTTTCTTAGGTGATTTTCAATTTTCTGGACAATAAAATCTTAAACAACAAGATGAAGCATTAATTGAGTGAGTAGCTTGTAAAATGCTAACAGCATTGCTGTATAGGCAGTAACACTGGGGGGCTCCTCACAAGCCTCTAGGCATGAGAAATTTCTTGGAATCCATCAAGTGAAGTCCAGGGAAAGCACACAGCTGAAAATACATGTGTACCCTGTCACTCCTCCTGAGATGCTTTTGATTGGAGAGGAGCATGGAAAGGTGGAGCAAAATTACATAAATCGTCAATGATAAATCTGTTGTATCTACCAAATCAAATGAAACGCAGCCAGTATCTATATTTATCATATAGTATACAATAATACGAATATCCACATGTATAGGAGAACATCTTCCACCTTCCTCCAACAAATAAAAGTGGTTGCTGTCAATAAATAAGGAGAATCAGCTAAGCTTCTGAAAATTACCCCCAAGTGAAAGACAGAGACAGAGGAGGAGTAGCTTATAAAAGTGAACGCTAGAGCCAGCATTAAGAAATGTTTCAGGGTAGCTGAGGTATCTTTGTGAGTAACACTTCCTCATTTTGCTGTAGTGCAGGCAGCCACATGAAAGGACTTATTCTTCTTTCGGATAGAGGCTTTGGGGTGTCCGTACTAAATTAATAGACTATATTAAAAAGGTATATAAAAAAGCCTTCTGAATGTAAATTCCCCTCCCCCCTAAACATCAATGTCTTTAATTTATGCATGCTGCAACCTGAAGGACTACATGATACCTAGGTGATTTATTACAGACACTTTTTTTTATTAAATTGTCCTCCTGGTATATTTGTATGCTAACCGTCTCTCGTAGTATGTGTCAGCTCAACTGTGACTGCTTATATCTCTCATGAACGAGCTGTTTAATTGCAGACAACTTTGATTGTTTGCCAGAGTTGTCTGCTGCCAAAGTAAATGAGATGCAATGCTGATGCCCTCTAAGAAAACCCATTCACTAACAAACATAATGGGAAATCATTGGATGGCAAGACTAAGATGGAGTGTAGTTTGGAGGAAATAAAGTAAGTAAAAAGCATTCAGAAACATAAAAAGCATCAAAAGGTTAAGCTGGTGTTGAGGTTTACCTCTGCATGGTGAGGCTGAGTTTAGTGATGGCTGCCTTTATCTTGTTTTGGGCCTCCAGATGGGTCATGCCCTCAGTGCTGACCCCATCGATTGCTGTAATTATGTCACCCTGACTGAGGTTTCCGCTTGCTGCCTTGCTGCCTGGTGTGATCTGTGGAAAGACACCAGACATTCATTAAATAATTACAAATGACACCACAGATTGAATTCTATATACAAAAAAAAAAAAAAAATCCAATGGAAAATCATCATGGCTACAGAAACCGTTTGTTTGTTTGTTTATTGATAATTACCGTACTATCGAATTCATTTTCACACACTATGCTTGCAACAGTACACACATTTGCATGATACATCAAATTTAATGAATAACTTGTCACTGTCAAGTGCAGCAGATGATTCTGAGCAGATGTGTTCTTGCTAAACACAAACAATGTTCTCCTCTTTACAAAAATGCTTAAACCAAAGTTACTGCTTTTAGGACCTTGAAAATGAACATCCTTAAACAACAAGAAGGGGCACTCATGGAGTGACCTCCCAGTAAGAGCTCTTGTAAAACAACAGCAGCATTGATGCATAGGTTGAAACACTGGAGGGCTTTTCACATAGACATAAGGCAAAACATAAATGATGTTCTCTTCTTTAGTGAGATCTCTTTTAAAATATGGGCTGACAGAATCCATTTGAAGCTTAGTTCTTTTGTATATGCAGACATACATCTGAATAAATGTCTTCAATTATTCAGTTAGAATGAAGTGATTGGAATGACAGTAGGACATAGGCCATAGAAGTGATGTGTGCTAAACATTTATTAAAGAAGCGATTTTGTCTACCTTGAATGAGTTGCTGAAAGTAATCAGATGTAGACATATTGACAATTTTGAACAAATTAAGGGGCTGTTCATCGAAAATGCTCTATTGCATTTTAAATAGCAAGATGGGTTGCAATGGAGTGAAAAAGAATGCAAGTTTTAAAAACAGTGTTTATGCGTGTCTCAAAAACACGCCGATCTTGTTTGCTAGCTATGCTACCAATCTTTCCTCTAAACAGTTCTAAACAAAGTCAAAGCAGACTTAACATCTTCACATCTTTGAGAAACACACTGTAGTGGTGTTTTGATTCTGAAAAATCTGTGCTTTTGAATGAATCATTTGAGTGAATGATTCAATGACTCACTCATAATGTTTAATTCTAAAATGAATCAGTGTTTTGAATGAATCAGATGAATAAATGATTCAAAAATCTACTCAGGATGTTTTGTTCCTGAATGAATCGGTATTTTGAATGAATCAGATGTATAAAAGATTCAATGACTCACTCATAAAGACCAGATATAAAGATAAAGTCATTTGTGGTCACCTACTGCTGTAACATGCAGGATGAATCAGTGAAAAATCCTCACCACTAATACACCGACTGACAGTCTGTCAGAGGTGATATACAAGCGGAGTAATATAAAATTAGAAAAGTCACAGTGTTGTTTACTGTTTATCAGCACTATTGAATAGCTGATCTGCCAATCAGCCTTAAGAACTGGGATTAATAGTATATTGTGGCGAGTATCCCGAGTCCAGATCAGCGTCGCCCTGGAAACGCCGCTGCCACACTGATCACAGAAGTACAACGCCTGTGCGTGATGAGTGGCGCACCTGGAGCTCGTTCCCGCTGGCCATAAAAGCCAGGAGAAGAGACACCAGCGGGGAGGCACCCCGGAGCTCCAGGTGACATTAATGCTTGTTTCTCCTTATTCACAGACTCCGATGGCACCCCAGGAGAGGGATCTGCACCACGGCACTTCACCCCACGAGCACCACGTTGAGACGGGCACCGAGCACCATTCCTCCGAGCACGTGTGATCAGTGTGTGGGCAATAAATCACCCTCCGGGGCTCTTTCTATCAGTACCGAGTCTGTGTTCTCATTCACCCCGCGACAATATGTATAAAAAAGGAAAAACATTTAGTGCAGTGTAAAAAACAAAGACTGATTTGAAAAAGCTCAGAAACCAAGGGAATGGAGATTGAAATCCCATCTCAGTCAGTGGCTATACTTTCAGGCAGCTCATTAAAATGTTAAAAATAAAGGTTGTTGTTAACGCACACTGCCTCTCAATTTGACCCTGTATTCTGGGGCCCTGTCAGCAACCCTTCTGTCCCACCTGCTGCTATTGCTCAACATACACACAAATACATGCTCCTGAAAGAGCTCTCCTTCATGTCATTTTCTGCTTGTAAATTCCCAAGTGCCAAACAAATTATAACTTCTGAAGGTGAATTAAGAGCACCCAATCATGTGGTTTACCTGAAAATAACTGGAATCCATAATGAGCAATGGTTTAGGAATTAGAACAAGTATGGGACGTAATTTTGCTCTAAACTCCAAATTAGCAAGGAAATTAGAATAATTTATATAATTAGAATTTATAGAATAAAGAATATAATTTTTCTAAAACACAAAATACACTGGAAAAGATTCATAGTCACTTGGCGATCAGATAGAGGCATCTTTTTTATGCTTGTACAGTGAATAACTGCTTACATTTCCCTGACTTTACTATTCAGACATATTTCTTCTTGGCTATTTTGTAATTAAACCTCATTGCATGCATCAGGGTCCTACAAACTAGATTAGAAACATCATCATCATCGCCTTTCTCCTGTTAACATTTCACTTAAGCCAACAGACTGCTACTTGACCAACGCCAAGAAAAGATGTTTTGGAATTCACCATTTCATCACATTGGTTTTGGGCTGACATTATTCAGATATTAGACAACATACCACTTTTCCCAGAATATTACCATAAGATTATTTTATTTTATTTACAAACATTAATTATTATTATTTTTAATTCCATGTTTTTGAACAGTACTTGAGTTTTATATTACAAAATATTAATTTTGGAAATGTAGGGTACTACTGAAACTACTTTTATTGAATTACACACACACACACACACACACACACACACACACACACACAAAGTCCTTAAAATGTCATTTAGATCTTCAAAGAACTTACTGCACATTACATTAATCTATCCTTTATAGATGTTAAAGGATCATTTTTAATATCCTTAATAGATTCAAATAAACATATTTTTTTCAAACCAAATCATAGCATTTATTATTACTTTAAATGGCTAATATATATATATTTTTTTTAAATGTGAATTGTAACTGTATTCGTCATTGTAAAGAGATGTTTCTTCACAACAACTACAGCATTGAGATGTAATGCAAAAACAATGCCTTTTAATTATGTTATACCATTGTTGACAAACTGGTGATCATGCGAGTGTCAAACAACATCTTGTGTTTCCCAGAGGCTTGCAAAATAAATAAATAAATAAATAAAATCAAACACCTGAACAGGTTGCTTTGCACAGTTTGTCTATCAAAGTTACTTTAGTAAGAAAATGGCAACCGTTTCATGATAACTGTTTCAGTCAATTTCAAAAGCTGAGGAAAGTTTACTTAAAATATTAAGTGTGAAAACTTCTAGTTTAGTGAAACTTGAGTAACACAGTAGCCACACCACTTTAGCTTATTTCTCAGGATGTTTTACACCCCTGGTCTACTGAAGTGAGATGCACTCACAGCAAGAATCACTGTTCAAGCACAGGTTCATTTTGTCTGCTATAATTCTTCCCTTGTTTTTAAGTTAAATTAAATGAAAGCAGTGTCTTAAGTATGAATAATGAGTGAAATTAAGAGGAAGCTATGACATTACAAGACAAATCATGTATCTTATCTTCTGCCACCTTAAACTAAATACACTTTTGTTTCATTTATAAATTAATGTAATATAATTCCTATTCAACTGTAGAATAAAATGTCAAGAGGGATAACAGGCACACAACTAATACAAAAATACAGCTGTTCATTTAATTTAAGCTGTTAAGCTGCCAATCTCAATACAACAGATGCTGTCAATGACCTGCTAAGATCCATATGAAAACATTTGATACATTGTGACTGTTTATTTCAATCTAGTCCAGAAGGCAACTGTCTTAACTTGAAGAGTTGATGAGCTCCATCCATCCTCTCCCATTAGTTCCTAAAAATCCTAACATTTATCTGAAATACAGATATGGTGTTCCAACATGCCTTTCAAGTTATAGATGAAAGCATCGGTTTTATCTTGTCGAGTGATAGTAGAATCTGCCAGTAGAACCTCAGTGAGGAAACAGGGGCCTGGTACTGTTGGCAATGTGATTTATGAGCCAGTCCTTGGTAAATGCCAGCTTTAATTGTTTTTTGTCACCTCCTGCACTGTTCTGACTAAAAACAAAGGTTGGGATGATGATCTGGACTATCTGTGGAACCTGTGGGTATTTGCAAGGCTCAGAGGGCGGCTGATAGTATATTAATTTCGATGTTGCTAAGCTCCAGCATACCTACATATATATGCATAATAAAGCCTGGCGCTGTCCACCTTTGCGTTACAAAGGTCTTGACCTCAGCTTAATGAAGCCTGACATCCTTCTGCACTGAACAGTTAGAGTCAATGACCTTGAAGAGCTTGCAAAGCAGTTGCAAAGCAGTGGAATTGAACAGACTTATTATGAGGTCTATGAATTTGCAATACACAGGAGACACAATGTGGAAATTAAAATACAACAGAATGAAGAAAAAAAGATTTGGGTACATCACTAAGCACATAGAGTCTTAAGGATTAATCTGCGGTGAAATTATTTAATATAATACATCACAAATGACTCCACAGACTGTCTTTGTCATGGACTTTATAAAGTGCTTTACAGAATATAATATTGGCACTCTGCAGAGCTGGACTTCCATATCATGCGCAACAATATATAATGACGGAAATTATCTCTGAGAGGACATTAGGGCCAGTGCTTTCTGCTATTGGCAATGTCGCTCCACAAAGCCGTTTGGCGCTTACAAAGCCACTGACAAAATCTCCCAATTTTAAATGCATCATTATCAAGTTGACTGTGTGGACGGTCTTATCAGAATTTATGCTGTGAGCCTGTTACTGCAATTACTGTTCCTCATTTATGCTCTTTGCATTTTTTATGCAATACTTTGGTTGACAAAAAGATGAAAAACAAGAATGATTTAAATGCAAATCTTTCCAATTCTGTTTAAGTTCAGACAAAAGTGAAGTATATAATGAACATTTTTAAGTGAAAGGTTGAACTGTGTCCTCAGGACAATCTTTTCATAGGTGTCAGTCAGGGCAGGTTCCCATGCTTTAAAATGCTGTAATTTATTGATTACAATTTTTGTTGGCTTGCTTTTGTATGTTATTTCTTTTTTCATTTGTCATAGTAATTTTATTGTTTAATTTTAACAACAACAACAACAACAACAAAAATGACTAGAAATCATTTAACAATAAACCTATCATGAGAAATAATCACTGGAGTAAAAAATGTGACAACTAGCCCCAGCCTCCCATATATTTTCAACTGTGGAAGTGTTTTAAAGGGAATTAACTAACAGCTTCAGGAATAGTCTTTCTTCCTGTGACTCTCTCCAAGCAATATTTAAATTCACAATGACCTCATGTGTCTATTGTCTCTGTGCTCTTCACATTTATGGCACCCACGTGTATTTCTGCAGGTCTGACCATTAGCGCTAATCTAAAATCAGTGGCCATAAGTCAGGCATTGCACCCACGGGCCAAAAGTGGTCGTCAGTTGCTATCATTAGCTACAACAGAGCTTTTTATTTAGGGTTGCAAAGGAAGCAAAGTAGTTAAATAGCTAAGAGACAGTGATTTATTTGTATTACATTTTCTATTATTATTCATTTTTATTAAAAAGCAGCATAAAATGTTTCATTAGGAAATAAGGCAGCTCCCTACCAACCCACAAACCACAAAAGCAACCCACACACATATTAACAACCTCATATTGTTCTGTCACTCACTTAGCAATTTTCTTCATATTATTGTTGTAATTTTCCTATGTCTGTAACACTGGGGCCAGGACATCTTAATTAAAGTTGGATCATAGCTTGCATGAAAAACGAAACGATTGTCTGTGATTTGATATTTCAAAAGGTTGCATCTCAGGTCTAAATCCATTTGTCAACATCTACTGTAAATGACACTTCCGTCCAGCATGAGCTGTTTGATGGTTCCATTATTGACACTAATATCACATATCCTGCTGTATTTTTCTCATGTAATAATTTACTGAATCAAAGTATTAAATTAGATCATCCACTCCTTCTTTGTCCTCAATGAATGTGACAAATGTCACAACATCATGTCGCTACTTTACAAACACTACAGAAAATCAGCAAGTATTACGAAAACAGTAAAAGCAATTACTAGGCTTCTATGTGCAAGACAGCAGCTCTTTCAGCCTTGGGACCCGGATTAAGATTTGGTACAGATTGTCTATGTGCTTTAGGATATAGGCTGATCTTTTATTACAGAGTGTGACGATTTGATTGTGAAATGCATAAATCGCTCTGGCTGTTACATATGCATCAGTCATCTGAGACCTGATCTGAACACATATAGCCTATTGTCCACATTTCAATCTACCTCCATATTCAGTGACAGCTGGGTCGGAAAAGACTATAAAATCCAGATGGACGCCTGATTTGACACTAATTACAGCATCAAAGCGTGTGCCACCAGCAATGTTGATTAGAAAAGTAATGGAAATCCAAACAATCGAGATAAGTTTTCCTGGTATGATGGTCCTGTCTGTAATTGCTTCCAGACAAACAGCCAATATGAGGAGACCTACCACAGCCTTGACAAACAGAGGTAATGACTTTCCCCTTATTGAAGTGAAAGACAATCAAATGTCAAGAAAGGTGTCAGCTATGAAACAAACAACCTGGGCTGAACTGCCTTTGACTGATGATACAGCGGCAGTGATTTCTTGTCACAGCAGAGATAAAATCACCTCACCCTCTGTTAGGACAAATATAATCTCTCTGAGCCTATGGATAAGGCATGTCCTCTTCCTTGAATCGATAGGCTAAGACAATGAAGATTTTAGATGCCATGGGATGAGCACACTTGATGTACAGAAAGAAGACTGTACGTTATGTGACAAGGTGCATTGTATTAACAATTCGATTCCCAAAGGCATAAGTGGTGCTAGTTTGTCAATAGCATGACTTATTGATCTTATTGATCTGTTCGGCAGGGTAAGACAATGCCTTCGCTCCAACAATCATGTTACAGGAGATGATAGATGGGAAACCGCTTACCATCAAGAAATGAATTCTAAGAAAGCTGAAAACTAAAATGAGAACCAACATCAATGAGCAGCAAGAATTTGAGCATCTTTCAACGAAACATGACGTCAACATCTGTTTAGCATAAATGACAGTCAGGACAGAGAGACTTCAAAAACTAATGTTTTTTACACTTAAAAGGATAGTTTACTCCAAAATAAGAATTCTGTCATCGTTTACTCACCCTCATGTCGTTCCAAACCTATATGACCTTTTTTCTTCCCCAGAACTCATAAGCAGATATTTTGGAAAACAGGTACAATGAAAGTCAATGGGGTCTAAAATAACACTGAGATATTTTTTTCAAATTATCTTCTTTCGTGTTCCACAAAAGGAAGAAAATCCTACAAGTTTGAAGCAATATGAGGGTGAGTAAAAAAAAAACTATCCCTTAAAATACTTTTTTCTTCAAGGACTGTACATGACAAAAATTAAAGTCTCTATTTTCCATTTAATTTTATAGATTGAATCAGTCAGTGTCATTAATGAACAGGCACGGTGTTCATTTTTTCACTTTGGGTGAATTAGCACGGTGAATGTGATTTAACTAGACAAGTAGCATACATCCAGGCTTCTCGCCTTTCACATTCAACTTCACATGCACAGATTCATTTTCCTAAAGCTTGCATCATCTGTTGCTATTCATAGAGTTTTCCACTGTAAATGCACCACAACACCTCTCTCAAGCCAAAGGACCAAAGCTGGTTAGAGAATTTCTGCTTTGGCTTGGACGATAAACAATACAACAACAGCTGCAATACGATGTTACATAATGCCAACATACCGTGTGACTCAAAGCTTTAATTGATTTTCATTGTTAAAGCAAAGTAAAAAAAATGTCAAAACAATCTCTGATATGAGGTTTCTTTCTTTCTTTCTTTTTTAATCAAAGCAGGCATTTGTTTAAATAGAGAATTATGGGTTTGTTTCTTCTACAAGGCAGAGCTGTTGTCTCACCCGGGAGATGGTCAGGGGCATGTTGAAGTCTTTGCCTCCCTGCAGCCTGAAGCCCCAAGGTGCAGGTCCAGACAGGGTTACTGTGTAATTGCTCATTTTGAAGAGAGTTTAAAGTGAAAAGCTTCTTCACAGATCAGTAAAGTCCTCTTTTTCCTTTCAGTTCTTCTCCCTGTAGTCGGGATGACCAAACACCCGGGTACGGGCAGGCACCGAGGAGCCTCTGAAACACACCAACAACGGACAGGAAATGCAATAGATTGAAACAATATGTATTAACTTATGCCCTCCGTCACTATACAACTATCACACAGGACCTGAGTTCACATATCAGCACAACTCAAAAACATACCACAGAAGGATCCAAAAAAAAAAAAAAAAAGTTAAATCCCACCCATTTATACTGACAAAATAGTCAAAAAAGTCTTAAAAGCAGAAGGAGGAAAGTTCTTGCCTGCTCGGATGGCCTGGACAGACAGCCTAAGAATAGACCCCTTCTGCAGAAAGTGATAACACTCAAGCCCCGGGGGCCCTTATATGGTGTGTAAGGGGACACCCTCGGATACCAAGCCCCCATGATTCACATGGCGAATATAGCCTCTTCTTAGGGTAACACATTTTTCCACTCTGCTCGTGTGGGCGTCCACTCATGGCACCATGGATATTGAGCTAGTGGGAAGCGACTAATAAACAAGGAGCCATTAGTGCTAAGTCTGACGTAATGTCATTTTGCTGCTCTTTCACAGTGCAAATCCAAATTGTAAGATTTGATTGAGGTGGTGGGACTGATTACAACTGTCATCAAGGGCCTCATCTCTTCTTTCTAATTTCACAATGGAGGTTTAGATGCTGGGTTTCACAAATCCTGAGTGAACTAAGGAGTTTCATAATATCTGGTGCAAGCTATCCATTAGCATTCCTGTTCAATTCAGCAGCAATTGCTCGGCTGGCGCAGGACTTCCCAGAACTTATATCATGGACAGGGCACTCAGTTCTGCTGCAAGGCTGTTTTGAGCCAATCACGTAAGCTGTAAATGGCATGTGACTAATGACTGTAGAGCTATAGAAAAACGACAGCGCTGATTGGCTGATGACACCACACTCTCAAAATAGTAATTATTCTGAGCTGTGACATCAAAGGCAGCAGACAGAGAATTCACTGGACACTTTTGAGAGCTCCCAAAAATGTACACTGATAAAATATCTACAATAATGTAAAACAGTATACATATTATCATTCAAAAGTTTTGGGGTCAGTAAGATTTTATGTTTTCAAAGATGTCTCTTATGCTCACCAAATCTGCTTTTATTTGATCAATTATACAGTAAAACAGTAATATTGTGAAAAATATTATTACAGTTTAAAATAACTGTTTTCTATTTTAATAAATGTTATAATGTAATTTATTTCTGTGATTGCAAAGCTGAATTTAGGGCCATTATTCCAGCTTTCAGTGTCACATGATCCTTCAGAAATAATTCTAATATGCTGATTTGGTGCTCAAAAAACATTTTTTATTATTATCAATGTTAAAAGTCCAATATTTTAATGGAAATTGTGAATTGCGTTTTTTTTTCAGGAGTCTTTGATAAACAGAAAGTTCAAATTAACAGCCTTTAACATTTGCTAGATATTAAGTATTAATTTGGTATTTGTTATAGCTAGATGGTGAAGTTGTGTCACCTAATTAGACCATTCTAACCAGCAAAACCTTGACCTTGTAAAGTCCACCCAATTGGCCCAACGACGGAATCCAACGGCATGGGCGAAGGTATAATGAATGTAGGTATTTTTCTTGCGCATCTGGAAGTTCACTTAATTTATCAGGACAAAGTTTAAATTTTAGTCTAGTTCTGACTCCAATTTTCAAGTGAACATTAAATTTAGGCTGTATTTCTAATTAAAAACTGATCACAAATATCGATTATGTATTAATTTAGATATTTGATTATTCTGGACATCCCATACTTTCAATACTGACTTAGTCTATACTTACATCATTCTTACCAGACCCTGGGGGAGAGACACCCCTCAGCAGCAGAACAGAATTCTTCCAAAGTTTTCAATCTTTATCATAATATAAGTGACTGCTGTGAAATTGAGACAATTTTATCAATCGCACCGAGGCCTTTACAATTATACTAAACATGAAGGGAAAAACGTCTCGGTTACGTATGGTAACCCTCGTTCCCTGAAGGAGGGAAACGAGTGAAGGCCTGGCGCCGGACGCTCCTCCATGTCTGGCTGCCGAGGGGACGGAGGAACTCAACAGGGTCTACTATATGGACTCTCTGGAGTGGTTTTTGCAAGCCGCCTCAGGCGACCCAGAGATAGAAGAGATTGCTCTTTTGTCGAGTATTTGCTTTTAAACAAAAGATTCTCCGCCCGGCCCTCCTCCGGGGGAGGGAGTGGCTCATTTAGTTTACACTCGAAGTAGATTGGTCTCTCTAAGCGAGATCCCAATTCGTCGGTCATCCGACGTGACGTCGAGAGTGACCGACTGAAAGGGAACAACAGATTCACAAGATACATCATATGTGGTATTTAGAAATTCTTAGTGAACTTTCAGTAAAGCCTGTTGGGGGAGAGGGGAGAGAAGCATAAATGAGCAAGGAGAGAAGTTTGGGCAAGGTGGTGTCATTTGCTCTTTTTGGAGATCTCTTCTCCAGATTAGTTTTATTGTTTTGTTGCATCTGTTTTGTGCAAGTTCCTGAAGTTGGGTTTCATGATGAGATCATTTTGGGTCTTCAGTGGCCTTGATCCAAATAGATTAGGAGCTTTGCATATTCATTATGGCTTTACGCTGCACTGAAATACACTACAGCCCCTCTGTTGGATTCAGAGGGGAGAATGAACATATTCAAAATGAGTAGATATTTATATTGATGAAGTAAACTACAACCAATCAGTCCCCTAGAGTAAGAAGAATGAAAGAAAATCTCATCCTGATCCCATGTTGTTGTCATCAAGTGGGTTGAAAGGCACACACTATCAGTGAGGATAACAGAACATCCACCTTTCACCATTCATGTATTCTGTGAAGGATCACGGGTATAATTTAGCCAGGTCATTCTGATTGAATCCTGCCACTCTTATTCTTTAGAGTGACAAGTATAGAAAGCGCCATCATGTTACATAATGACACACACAACAGCTATTATTACGAACAATGCAGCTCTAAGTAAAAAAGTAAAGCTCACCCTCAGCCATAAATTAACTTTCCTCTCTGTATTTATCCACTGTGACATAGTAGATTTTTTTCAATCTAAAAAAATAGATTCAAATTCACACTTGTTAGTGTGACCACTTCTGTTCACACTTGTTAGTGTGACCACTTCTGCATTAACCTTTCCCATTCCATTTAATGAATGACGGACCTATTACTGCAGAATTTATTTGATGAATTTTTCACAACCAAATTCTATTGAAGTAACATAGGCATTTGAAGTGCTAAAGCTGAAAGGACAAAACCGTTTTACAGGTTTACAAAAGCAACGAGTATTTGGTCTTGTCTGGTTCTAAAATATGTGCTATTTATAATGCAGTTTTTGGTAACACTTTATTTGAAGGTGTCCTTGTTACGCGTTACATGTACTTACTATTATAATAACAATTAATAATGCATAATTACATGCAAGTAACCCTAATCCTAACCCTAACATATAGTACATGTAGTTAATTAATATTACTCAGTACTTAAATGTATAATTACACTGTAACAAGGACACCTTAAAATAAAGTGTAACCCAATTTTTTTCAGGAAATTGGTCAAAAACAGCCATGACAACCTAATAAAGTTTATTCTGAACATCTGTGTTATCGCAGGGCTTACTGTATCCAAAGATTATTATCATGTAACACCTGCAGATGGTTTCTCTCCTGTCATCGACCATTTGTTACACTGGGTCACAGATACAACAATACTACAGAAGTGACAGAAGTGTAACTTTATATATCTAACAAGCTTTACTATATCAGTCACTTTTATCAGTCTGACAATTGAATTGCCAAGTAGCCAATGTACTGTATGGATTGTCAACTACCTGTCTTGTTCTTTAATGCAGAACATCAAAAGACCACAAAACCCTGTATTTTGACCTAGATTGCACATTTTACATAATTTCAAATTCCTGAAAACCAAAAAGCATAACTATAGATTTTACATGCAAGCATAACTCATAATACTCATTAGAATTTAATATTTATTAACATTATAAATCACTCAAATACATCCTCCAATAAATTAAAGTGAAATCACACATTCATTGCACGATGGATTAAGATTTTTATGCTTTTGGCCATTCAAAATGTGCATGAAGAACAGTTGTGAAGAAAACACAGTAGCATCACACAAGATTTACTGATTAGGAAAAACAATATGTAAAGAAATATAAATACATTTTAAATACCAATGCTAGAACCATTAAATATTGTTTTGCAGCAACCCCAACATAAGGTCAGCAGAGATACTCAGATCATCTCTAATTGTGACCCTGGACCACAAAACCAGTCATAAGGGTCAATTTTTCTAAATTGAGATTTATACATCACCTGAAAGCTGAATAAATAAGCTTTCCATTGATGTATGGTTTGTTAGGATAGGATATATTTGGCCGAGATACAACTATTTGAAAATCTAGAATCTGAGGGTGCAAAAAAAAAAAAAAATCAAAATATTGAGAAAATTGCCTTTAAATTTGTCCAAATGAAGTTCTTAGCAATGCACATTACTAATCAAAAATTAAGTTTAATATATTTACAGTAGGAAATTTACAAAATATCTTCATGAAACATGATCTTTACTTCATATCCTAATGATTTTTGGCCTAAAAGAAAAATCAATAATTTTGACCCATACAATGTATTTTTGGCTATTGCTACAAATATACCCCAGCGACTTAAGACTGGTTTTGTGGTCCAGGGTCACAATTTAGGTCAGAGAGTCCAGGCTATACTCTATTATAAATTGCAACAAAGGAAAAAGTCAATAGCATGTAGTGTACACTTTTTAATCTTCTCTCCAGGGGCTGGTGACCTTGTTCAGAACTCATTGTAGGAGTCTGACAGACTTAATCTTACATTAATGCAGAGCCATAACCAACTGCTTACATACATAGTTAAATGCTGTTCAAGGCTTTTTCCAGACCATTGGGAAGTCTATGGTTTATGGGGAAAAATAGCTTTTTTACTTTTTTCATTTTTTTTAACCGCTGAACCTTCAGTTTTAGTATTGATCCAAACAGAGTGAGAAAAAATAAATGTTTAGTAGTTCAATGAAAAATAAATGGATGAATATAAACAGAAAGCTTCAGAAAGGGAGTTTGTGGTATTAATCTGGGCTAATGAATGAGGTCTTACTGTGCCCTGAGGTGCAAAACACCAGACGGCAGCCATCAGCACCTCTGCCTAACAGCCACTCGTTACTTAATCTGGACCACTTGACTAGAATACATTTGCAAGCCTACATAATGATTTCTGTCTCTTTCCATGTTAGAGAGGCTGCTGAGGTGAGGACTATATGAATTGATAGCTGTGGTTTGATCAGTGGAACCTGCTGGGTGTTTGGGCTTCCTAACCCACAACCTGAGTCATACACACTTTGGTTTACTCTCCGCAAATGGTTTAAATTAAAATGCAAAAATCATAAAGCCACAAGTTTATCTAGGATGATTTTTCACCCCCAAAACATATGAACGTTTGTCACAATGGGCTTTCATGTTTTTGTGACAGGCCTGCACTGTTTATCACAATTAAAATACAAAAACCAGCAAAATAGTTCCATTATTTAAAGCTACTGTAAGTAGTTTTGTGTATTTGTGTGACTTTGGAGCCCCCTACATTCACTGTTGGAGCCACTGGAATTCACTGTCCTATATATATAATGTAATTACTGTAGATAGTTGTACACAGGCATTTGTTTGCTGCTGTAGGGCACTCAGAGCTAACAAGGAACATTCTCAGAACTTTGGCTAACATTCTGACAAGGTTCTCTCAAAGTTGATTAACAAACGTTCTTCCAGTAACGTTAACAGAATGTTTGTTCAGTTTCATCTCGTCTTTAACAATGTTCACAAAATGTTAGCACAAAAATATTATTTGTATATCATTCATGGAATGTTTTTAAACGTTTTTTTAATGTTGCTACTTGTACAAAACTTTCAGAGAACTTTCAGAAGTAACGTTCCTATAATGCTTGCAAAATGATCAATTGAAATGTTCCCTTAACATTTCGCACAACGAAGAAAAAAACGTTCATAAAAAAAAAAAACATTTTTGTTAGCGGTGTCCACCCTTTTCACAGAATTTGTACCCGCTCACCAAACTAATATACTCTCAGAACAGACATTTGGGGAAACGTGGGAAAAAATTTTAAGGTTAAAAAATATATATTTACTGTTGCTTTAATTAAAAATTATGCCAATTAATTTTTATGAGCAGTGAGAAATATTTAAGGTCTGAACATTTTCAAAATTCATCCACCATTTTCAGGTGCATTGGTAAACAGTAAAAAAAATACTGTATGAATTGTACCAGGCACATATTAACATAATTTGGGGCCAACATCAAAACTAGTCAAGACAACAGGAAAGGAAAGGGCAATGAGGACATGACAATGTTATCACTAATCAAATGTATGACCCGGTGCTTTTTGCTGACAAGTTTACTTATCATTCATATAGCACTTGATTATGTCACTCAACGTCGTCCAAACAACAAATCACACGCAAGTCAGCAGACACACTATTGACCTACATGATAACTGTGAGTGGCTGGATATACAGTATGTGTTCACTGCTAAACGTGTGTCACTGCTAAATGAGGAGATGCTAATCAGGTGAACATTCTGGCAACATCAATAAATATGCGAACCCACCCCATATAGTACATCATAAATTCATCTATGAAGCACATTTACCTCAAAATAGAAAGGTAAACATATCTCTCACGAGAGACAGAGAGAGTGACAGTGCATTTGAACTGCTTCAGAGACCATTATCTGAGAACGTGTATGCAACTTTGAGAACACAGCAGCCTTTAAAAGCAATGGAGCGTTCTGGCTGAGCACTTTCCCAAAACTAATCTTGTTAAAAGCGTTTCCCCTCTAATCCCTAAGGACTCCCAGATGCTGGCATATTAATCCCACCAAAGCATCTCTGAAATTCAGCAGACAGGTAAATCTGCATCTACAGTTCATTAGAGCCACAGGCTCTGAGACCAGTCATTTGAATTTAAAAGACAATTTTTCACATTTATGTGGGTTTTGTTGTTATTGTAGCCTGCATGGAAAGTGAGAATCATTTAAAAACAAAGGAGCCTATTTTACATTGAGAAAGCATGCAGGTAAATCACAACCATTGGGAATATTCACATGTGGATAGAGAAACATGGCAACAACACAAAAGCATGACAAATCATACAGTCAAGAGCATTTGTTGAGCACACGTCCATATTAACATTCAATAATTTATATACAAATATATGTATTGGCCATACAGTGTTGGAAAAAAAATCTACAAAATGAAAATCTACAAATTTATTCAATCAGCAGCAAGAAAGATGTAATTGGTTCTCAATGTGCTTGATCTATTATGATGTTGGTGGGAATACCTAAAACTTAAAACTGAACTGTTTAATTTTGTATTTAATTTTAAAATTAGAGTTGCAAAACAATCTGTACCATATTTATCTCCCAATATTAGTGATTTATAGTTATTGGATAACAGCAAAGGTAAAGTCAATCTGTTTAAAGCCTTGATAAATGTAATCTTTATCAAATCTGAAAATTAACATATATTTTTAGACTGCACATTGTTATGATTCCTAAATTCACTTTAATCGTTTAGAATGACTGATTTTTATCATTTATCAGCCATTACAATTAAAACATTTTAACGTACGTACATAACAAAATTACACACTTTACCTTGAAAGAAACATTAAAAGATCCACATTTCTGTCCTAGAGTGATTACACCTGTAGACAGGGCTCTACATTTCATTGACCAAAATTTCTGGCTATGTAAAAACTAGGCGTTTGAATATTCATGTCACATCATGTGTTATTTTTTATCTTGTGCAGGCACAGGGAACTGTTTATTCCTATGGTCTACACCACAACCTTTGTATGGATGAAGCAGGGATGGATGTATCTGAATACATATTCTGAGCAGTGTCAATCCATAACTGAGACACTGATTGCTGCTTTTCCCACAGAACTGTCATATATTCATCCCTGAGAGGAGAGGATCATCTCCACACCACTAAAAGAAGCCTTAAAGGGTGTCCTCTTGTAAAAAAATAAAGACCGTTTACCCTGTAGCCTGTGGTTGCCCATTTTCCACCTCAAAACAGGCAAAAGTACAACAATAATGACACTTCAGATGTCAGTTGTGACTGCAAGCAGGTTAATTTTTGAGCCCTGTGTAAATGAGACAAAAAGGAGGAAGGGATAAGTCAGATGATCCAGAGTCTGTTGAGATGGAGTCCTGAAGTATAAATAAGTGGTAGTGCAGCCCGTATTCAGTCAATCCCAGCAGGTTCCACAGTGACAGAGGCTGCGTCCACCGAAGCACCTGGGAGCTGTCTGGAGGGGCTGGACTCTGATGTAACAATGATGGAAGGGATCCGAGCCAACTGTCTTTTCTCATCGTTCTCTGAGACTATATTTGGCTTAATGTGACAGAGAAATGATAGTTAGTGAGTGGAAAACAGGTGTGCTGCTTAAGAAACTGTAATACAACTGTGAAATATTTTTATTACTGTCACTTTTGATCAATTAAATGCACCCATGCTGAATATAGTGCAGAGGGTCCGTGCAGTGCTCCTGTGGGGCTGGTCGGTCACACGCTGCTTTCTGTGGGAAAAATGAGAGGGCGAGTTAGTGCTCAGTCTCATGGAGGAATCTCCTAGATGGCAGGGCTTGCGTGGCTTATGTAGCCACCGCCTGATGAGGTGCAGCTGTGACCGATCAGCCTGTGATGATGATGGCCAGGTGCTCCTCGCTTGTTTCCAGGGCGATGCTGATGAAGCTTCGGGACGCTCGTCACAATATATATAAACATTTTATTTTATTAATATGTATACTTAATGAGATCAGGCCGGGAGTGCATAAGCAGGAATAGGAATTGCTTGTCAAAGAAAACTCCCACAGTGCATTGGAACCAAAACTTGTCATAGTCATGTTGATGCTCAGCAATACAGAAAGGTTTTTCAGCTTGATCTGCTGAGAACTCTCTGGACTAGAGTTTGTGTTTGCATTCACTGACAGGTTTGCTTTCTGCCATCGCTTCCAGCGCTACATTCCAGTCGCTATAGCCATAATAATGACACACTGGGGTGACTTTGTGGCAGTGTAGCTCGGCCTCTCTGATCAACACCACTGCATCTGAACACAAGACAATTTGGATGCTTAATTTGACCTCATGTGGGTTGGTTTCACTTTTAAAAGTCTGGCATTTGTGTATCCCTTCTCTCTGAGGATCAAGCAATTGCTGTTTTCTTCCTCAGAATGTGACTAACTAAATCCTGTATGCTTATTATGTTGAACCAAACAGCTCCTTCATAACACAAAAGATTAATAAATAGGAACATACTGTAGACCACCATGGGACCTGCATGGCTGAAATACCACTGTAGACCTGATTGGAGGGGACTAGTGTTCCCTGAAGAGTTTAGTAAAATTGTGTTTCACAAATGGACTTTGTGATTTCAGTCCCGTATTAATCAAGCATATCAGTGTTTTCTCTCACACAACCTCAAAAAAGATTACAGAGCAAATTAAATACAGCTTTTCAGCTTCCTCTGAGAAATCTACTTCAGTCCTGATAGGAATATCTAAGACTGTTGCATTATTATCATTTCTCTTCCTATATCTAACCTTCGTAGAATAAAGTGTCATTCACTTAAATAAATTCCTTCTCTTAGTTACATAATCACATGTAAATCTGGTTTCCTGATGCACAGACCTTCTGTCACGTCCATTTCCAGACAACAGACACTTCCATGTTATTAACTACCGGGATCTCCCATTTGCAGCAGCACATGAAGTGACAGGCATCCTGTGTTAATGATTGTAACTCAAACATCATTTAGAAACTATTCCATTCCAAAAAGAGCACTTACAGAGGACGAAAGACAACTGGACAGGCTGACCTCAGTCATGGAGATCTCATCTTTGTTGCTCACCGTCTGAAAGAGGGAGAGAGGAGATAGGAATGAATTTTATGATTGAGTTTTTCACATAGTTGCATAGTTCAACACTTCTCTTTCTCATTCTTAAAGTTCATATCTTTAATCACAGATTAAGTTAGCATATTGTAAGCCTCCTAGTGTTTAAAATGGGCTGTGACCAATAAAAACGAAGGTGTACGGGCAAAGCAAAAGGTGCCACCCAGTGGACACACTAATGCCGTTCATCTTGATGACATGGGTTGAGCTTCTGTTTATGGGGATTATTGCTTTAAAACCAGCAGATTAGAGCAGGAGAATAAAAGCAGGCTTAATCTCAATGTAATGGACCCTCATTCAAGTCTGCTCTTTAAAGAAACGCCCCGAGCACTGACCCACACAGCACCATCTACATCTTTCACTTGCTCTACTGGCTCATGACCTGTTTAACATTATATTAACAAAAGGAAACTTTAGGAGCCAAATCAATTTGATTTGACTTTTGTTTTTTTAAAACTCATAAGAAAAGTTTTTTGTGACTGGAAACTAGAAACAATGTGACACTATACATCCTTCTGACTGGTAAATGATAAGCATAAAAGCAGGATTTGTCTTGGTCCATTAACATGAGAGAGTGATTGTCTGACTATTACTCTCTATTTTGTGCAATCGCTCCAGGGAAGCAAATCAGTGGTTCTCAAATGGTGGGTCTCAATCCAAAAATGTGTCACAAGTTTGTTCTAATAAAGCTGCATACAAAAGATTACATTTCTAATATACACATTTCTAAATGCTAAATTATGAAATACAAAAAAAACATTTTTTCAAATAAAATATTAAATTTTAAAAATGACAATTATTCCTAAAAAAAACACTCTTTATAGAAGCGCCATAAATGTAACCTAAAAATTTTTTTAATGTGGTAACATATTTCATTTATTTATTTTTATTAAATAATACTGACAAAATGCAGGACTGCACTGGTTGTCCATATCATTAAAAAGAGCCTGCTCATAAGAATCAAGAATCCGATTAAGCTGGTTGGACTTTATGTGTTTGCTTCACTAAAAAGAACCGGCTCATATGAGTCATTCGTTCTGTAAAACAGACCGCACTGGCTGTGCTGTATGTGTTTGATTCATTAAAAATTAGCTTACAAGAGTTATTCATTTGGGAATCGGACTACATTGGTTGTGCTGTATGTCTATTATTCACTAAAAGGAATCGGCTCATAAAAGTCATACATTCAGGAAACGGAGTACACTGGTTGCACTGTATATGTATGATTCACTGAAGGAAGTGGAGACATTTGTTCGGGATATAGAGTACACCGGTTGCACTGAATGTTTTTGGTTGTACTGTATGCTTTGTGCTGCAAAATCAGTAGTGATGCCACTGAATAAGCAGTGCATGAAACTCTGTCAGAGTATTTTTAATACAGTTTCGATAATAACTTTCGATAATGATAAGGTTCCCTCGTGATGTATCATTCAAGTGAAACAGAAAATCTATTATTGTTAAGCAGTACCAGTACCAGGCTGAATTAAAAAACACATCTTCATCTGCTGAGTTAAAGCGAAAAAAGCTGTGTGTAGATCTCAGAAAAGTGATAGCTCCTCTACATCTAAGAGAAAAAAAACGTGGAAGAAGCACAAATCTCCCTCAAACTTAATTAAAGAACAGTCAAAAGAAATCACAGAAAGAGCATCAATAGCACACACAACTATGCAAACTCTTGGAATACTCATTTGTTACAGAACTACGCTGGCTGAAACCAGGGCAGTGAACTGTATTCAAGATATGAAGGATGGAATGAAATTTCCAAATGAATTTTAAATCTGATGGGATCGTTTCCTATTTAAAATGAATGTGGGCTTCCTAATTTCATATATCAAGGAGCGCTGTGTGAGCTTGAAAGCTTTTGATTAATGAGGTGAGATATGACTCTCACTTACGCTGATGTATGTACAGGTCCGGCTCAAGTTTGGCTCAGCTAGACTCTGGGCCGAGGTTCTGTCGAAGATACCCGAGTCTCTGCTCTTGACCTTCAGCCTCAGAGAGCTGCTGTGCTTGAAGTCAGACAAATCTTTCCGGATGTCAGATGAGACCTGACGACTAGCAGGGCGCGAACTCGTGCTGGAGAGATCTGCCTCTGTGTCCGTCCAGCCCTGTCCATAAACAACACACACTGAATGTTGGTCAAACAGCTTAAATAAAAATCCAATAAGAATAACTGTGAGATTGCTGTGGCCTTTTGGATGAGGACGGACAGAAACATACTGGTACACAATACAAACGAGAATGCTTGGCCATGTTTCACCTAAAAATGAAAATTCTGTCATAATTTACTCACCCTCATGTTGTTCCAAACCTGTATACATTTGATGACAGAAATGATGAAAGAATTTTCATTTTTGGATAAACTATCCCTTTAAATATACTTTATGTGCATTACTATGCCAGTATCAAACCTTGAACCAAAAATGCCACTGAAAGTGACCAAAATGCCCAAGATATTATCAATTTCTCCACGGCGGATTCCTCTGTTGTCTTATTATCTAACATTTTATATATTTCATAATACTCTGTCATCATTTACTCACACTCTTGTTGTTCCAAAACTTTAAACATTTATTTCTTCTTCAGAACACAAAATAAGTTATTGTGAAGAATGTTGATGACCAAACCATTTGGTGACTTCTACTGGATTTAAAATCAATCAATAAAATCAATCAATCAATAAAAACACTGACATTTGTCAAAATACATACTTTAATCCTCCACAGAATAAAAAAGTAAAATGGTAAATGATGACAGCAATTTCATTTTTGGATGAACTATCCCTTTAAATAAACTTAACTTGCATTACTGGGGTGGTAACAAACCCGGAATGGGCCAAAGTTACCTTCAAATGTCTGTTATCAAATTCTCTTGGTGATGTCCCCAGGCAGCTATAGCAATGCGTACAGTACTTTCATCACATTAGTAATAACAGGGACAGAAATTAACCAAAAAATGCTACTGAAAGTGACCAAAATTTCACAGATACTAAAATTGTCTCCACATTTAATTCCTCTGTTGGGTATATATTACCTAACATTTGATATATTGCATAATATTCTATTCTTGCATGACCACATGCTCTTTGTTATACAGTACAATCAAAAATATGTCATCAGAAAGGTAAAAAACACCCTTGAAAATCAATTTCAGGGGACAATTATCTCTCCCTAAAAATCAAGTTAATTTCTGACACTGGTTCTGACACATTTTTCTGACAGAATTTGGGTTTACATACATGTGTAGAGTTTGTTTCTGGCCTTAAGGTATTTCCTTACCGACTCGCTGTCAGACACAGAGGACAAGCGTGTCTTCCCGGCACGGTGCAGGTGGCTGCTGGCCTCTGAGGACTGGCTAGTCAAAGTGGAGCGTCGTGTGGACATAAAGCTACTGCTGCTGAACCGGTCTCTATGTGGTATGCATAGCAGCACTCCTAGACATGGTATATACTTTGCAATGGCAGCCCTGAGAGAGAGAAGTGATATGTGAAGAAGGATATAGGAACACTGAAAAATGAAACTGCATTTTTGTGCTCATTGTGCCCTACGTCAAAACCAGTCTTGATGGCTCAAATCAGTCCTTCACGAGGATCCCATAATATTCAGGCGATAAGAATGGGTAAATGATGGCCTCATCATTTAGGTGCTTTATCATGAGGCATTAATCTTCATATCTGTTATGAGCAGCACATGGCCCAATGCATCCAGAGCAGATCAATCTGAAGTAAATCTGACTTTTAAAGGTCAGAATCTACCTCTGTCATCTCAAGGTACTTGCGCTCTGTACACAAAACCTCTGATCAATTTGGGTCTGCCTGGCCTTGAAGCACACAGTGTGCATGTTTGTGCAACAATGTTTCATTTTGCTGGACAGGTCTCTTTGTATTGGAAACTAGGGTGTGTAATAAACCGGAGATGTCGGTTGTGCTTCTGTGCTTCAATATGCAGCCAGGGTATTTCAATTTTAGTGCACAATGTAAAATATTGGCAGGATTTTACCAAATTTAACAGAAATTTCTTACAATAAAAAAAAAACATATATATAAATACACTACCATTTACAAGTTTGGGCTCTGTAAGATTGTTTTAAAAAGAAATTAATACTTTTATCCAGCAAGGATGTATTACATTGATCAAAAGTGTCAAGAAAGATATTTAAAATCTTACAAAAAAGTTATTTTTCACATAAATGCTCTCTTCATTAATGTACTATTCATTAAAAAAAAAAGTATGCAACACTGTTTTCCACATTATTAATAATAAGAAATGAGCACCAAATCAGCATATTAGAATTATTTCTGAAGGATCATGTGACACTGAAGACTGGAGTGTTGAAAATTAAGCTTTGCCATCAAAAGAATGTAGAATAAGAAAAAAAAAGAAAATAATAGAAAACAGTTATTTTAAATTGTTGTAATATTTTACAATATCAATATTAAGTCACTAGTGTGATTTCATGATTTTGATAAAAAATCAGTGCAAGCTTGGTAATTTTCTGCCACAATCCAAATTACATATCAGTTATTTTTTGCTCCTGTACACTGTGAAGTCACAGTATAATTCATATAATTGTAAGCATTTGTTAAAATTACTGTGAATGTACATCTACTAATAGCCGTGAATATTCATCATTTTTTAAAACGCAACAGAATAGACAACTGTTTGTAAAAAGGTTTATGTTGAGCATCATCACACCTGTATTTGGGGTGAGTGATGGCATAGATGATTGGGTTGTGGATGGCGGATGGTTTGGCAATCACAGCAGGCACAGAGG